CCACCCTTGGGCAGGTGGCTCCAGCTGCGTGACACCCAGGGGCCATGACCCAATAGGTACACGCTTGAGTGAAGAGACCTGACACACTCCTGACCCCGGGGCATGACCCAGCAGGACCGTTTTGGGCCCTTCACACGCCCCCTCTACACAGAGGCAGGGGACATCCCTTCCGCTCTGGCCACACTATACATGGTACAAGGGCATGGGTGCAGTCTTAGGGCAGCTCCCAGTCCTGGGGAGAGCCAGACATGCTGACCATGGCCTCTGTGCAAGCACAGAAGCTCTGACGGTGCAGGGCACAGTTGCCCTCACGTTGCGGAGGGGGCTGGGCATCATCCACTGTGTCCCCAGGGAGAGTTGACCACTTCTCTTCTTTCTCTACAGCTGCACCAGCTGCTCATGCAGGACGCACCACCCCGCCCAGGACATGCTCCCGCACCCACGGCCTGCTCTGGACCATCACCATGCAGCAGGAGTACCGGGACCAGCACCTGCGACCTCTGCACTGCACCATGCAGGCCTGGATGCAGGAGGACCTGCAGCTCCGCCAGGAGCAGCTTGCTGAGGACCGAGCCATGAACTCTAACCTGCAGGCCCTGCTGCAGAGCATGCTGCTCCGTGTCGGTCCTGTGCCGGCTCCCCGCCAACTACTGTTCCTCCTCCCACTCCTGCCCCCCTCCCTCCTCTTCTTCCTCAACCTCCACACCCTCCTCCTCAATGTCCACACTCCCCACCTCAACCTCCACAACCTCCTCCCCATTCCCCCAGGGATGCCGAGGCTCCCTCCCCCACCATGCTGGGAGGCGGTTGACCCGGCGAGACCCTCAGCCCTGAGTGCTGAGCTTCCCCTCCCCCTTTTCCCCCCTTCCAGCTCCTTCCTCCCAGGTTCCCCCTCCCCTCTCCCACCCTCTCTCCTGCCCTCTCCTGACTCCTTTCGCCAGTCTCCCCAGAGTTTCATTCCCCTTCCCCAGCTGTGTTAAATAAAGACAGTTTCTAGTTTTGAAAATACGTGTATTTTATTTGACATCAGGAAGGGGGGGCTAGTGAAAGGAGAGGGAGGAATGGGGCACAAGCCCCCAGTGGGGCAGACTGGGGAGACTGTTAGAGCTCCTCAGGGTGGAAGCTCTCCCACTGAGCCCCCTGGATCCTGACGTCCCCTCAATGGTCCTCCTGGATGGCAGCCTGCAGACAGTGCAGCCAGGCTGCCGGCAACGTGTCCATGAGATGCAGCAGAGTCCCCGGGGACAGGTCTGGTTCCATGTTGCAGATTGCCATGGTACCCGGGTGAGGGCAAGCAGAGCACTCCGAGACACAAATGCTTTGCTGTCCCTCAACAAGGTAGACCAGCAAACAGAGGAACCTGAGAACTGTCTGTCCGGGATGGGAGGTCGGGTCCCTTTAAGCACAGCCCTTGGCTAGCCTGAGGCAGCAGCCCCGCACACTATGTCCGATCCTGATGCCCTTTTGGCCCTGGTTCCGGCCAGCCTTACCTTCGATTTAGGGTCCACTCAATGTGGATGCGCTATTTCAAATTAGAAAAATGCTATTTTGAATTAGTTTTTGTGTCCAGATGAGTTATTTCGATTTAGCTTATTTCGAATTAACTAATTCAAAATAGGTTAATTTGAAAAAGTGCTGTAAACATACCCTTAGTTTACTGCAGGAGTGTGAGGGTATGTCTACACTAGTCTCCAAGTTCGAACTAGGGAGGTTAATGAGGGCGACCTAAATTGCATATGAAGCGCGGGATTTAAATATCCCGCGCTTCATTAGCATGGTCCCGGTAGGTCGCCATTTTGGAAACTGACTAGCCCAGAATAACTGCCCGCGTCTATACGCGGCAGAGAAGCGCGATTCCGAGATTAAACCCCTTAGTTTGAATTAACAGTTAAACCTCAGGTTCGAACTAGGGGGCTAGTGTAGATGTACCCTGAGTCTCTGAGTTAAGAGGAGACAGTTATGTCTTTAGAGTTTGACCATACAGCTTCCAAGTGTTGCAAATTGTTGTGTTATTCTAAGGTGTTCTTGCAAAGTGCTCTCTGTACCTCTGAATGGTTTGTAGGTCAGTCTGGTAATCTCCAAAGACAGGAAGTTGCCATCCCAGGGTCACTTGCAAACTTCTCTTTGCATCATGGTGGCATTTTTAACACTTGTGCTTCTCCAGCTGTTGATAACTCAGTGCAGGTATCGATAAACGTACTAAAGCCAGTGCCTCATTTTCCTCTTCCACATGCAGCAGACCAGATGTCTTATGGTTTCCATGCTGGGATAAGTGGTGCGTCAGCCTACAGGGGTCAGGTAACTAATGACTGGTTTGAAATAATTAAACAAGGAAATGTTAGTTACCCCTTCACATCACACAAGCAGTAGGGGTCAGCCAATGAAATGAACAGACAGATTTAAATCAAACACAAGAAGTGATTTCTTTGCGGGAACGCCACGGAGCTCTTTGCCAGGGAATGTTGCGAAAGCCGCATTCCATAATCGAGTCGCAACAGGAACTCAGTAAGTTCACAGAAGACAGGTCCATCAATGGCCGTTGGCTAGGGTGAGCAGGGATCCCAAACCATGTTTGGCATTGTTCCTCACCTCTGTTTGGCAGACACTGGGACTGGACAACAAGGGAGGGATCACTCAGCTGTCGCAATTCTGTTCATTCCCTCTGAAGCACCTGGCATTGGGCAGTTAGAAAACAGGCTGGCCTTGGATCCCAGCCACTATGTCCATTCTGATGTCACTACAGAGACCCCAAATGTATTTGCCCCTTGACCCCACTCCTCTCCCAGAGCTAAGGGTGAGCCCAGGAGGCCTGACGGGGGAAGGAGGGGTGTCTCTCTTTTTACAGAGTTGGTAACAAAGGAGGAATATACAGTTGCCTTTCAAACCTACCAATGTTCCCGTGAGAAGTCAGAGGATGTCCGACCATGGTAATATTACCGCAGAGTGGTTCTAATATTTATGATCTCAGTGGTTCTAATAGTTAGGGTGACCAGACTTGCCTCTGCCCAACATAGGACACCAAGGGGGGAGGGCTGCCAGTGCTCAGGGCTTTAGCGCCCCAGTGGGGTGGGGGGGAGGAAATGGGATAGGGGCCACCTAGGAATGGGGCTTCAGTCCTGAAGCAAGGGCCAGCCAGGAACATGGCAGAGTGCCAGAGCCAGAGCTGCCCTGGAACGGGGCTTCAGCCCCACGGTGAAGGCTGCCTGGGAAGAGGGCTGAGCCCTGTGGTGGTGGGGGACTGCCCAGGCACCGGGCTGCACCCCACATTGAATTGAGGGGCCACTGGAAAACTAGGCTGTGCCCCACGGTAGGTGGGGGCCACCAGAGAACAGGGCTGAGCGCCACAGTGTGTGGGGGCTGCAAGGGAACCAGGCCCAGCCCCACGGCGTGTGGGAGCCACCTTGGGACTGGCCGTGAGCCCCACGGCAGGTGGGAGCCATCGGGGAATAGGGCTGAGCCCCAGGGTGGGTGGGGGCTGCTGAGGAACTGGGCTGACCTCTGCGGCAGGAAGGGGCCACCAAGGAACCAAATTGAGGCGGGAAGCAGGTGGGGGCCACCAGGAAACTGGGCTGAGCCCCACGGTGGGGGAATGCCCAGCAATCGGGATTCGAGTCCTGTGGCAGGTGGGGGCTGCTGGGGAACTGGGCTTCAGCCCCACAGCACATGTGGCAGAGCCCCTGTGGTAGCAAAAACTTTCAGCCGTGCGGCAGGTGGCCGCGGCTGAGGAATGGGGCTGCAGCCAGCAGTGCTGACACTCCGACCTGGTTCCTTCCTTGGCTCCCTGCCTGAGAGCCTCATGCTGCTGCCTGCCGTACCGCCAGCCACAAATAGGAGGCTGCTGCAGCGGCAATGACCGGGGAACTCAAGTGCCATCAGGGGGCCTGCAAATATAAGATATTTTGCCCCTTATTAAAAAAAGTCAGGATGCAGACAGCTTAAATACGGGGCAGTCCCAATAACAAAGGCACGGATGTCACCTGTCTAATAGTTATTCATTTATTTTATAGATAGATAGATAGATAGATAGATAGATAGATAGATAGATACATAGATAGATAGATAGATAGATAGGGTCTGTCTACACTACCCCGCTAGTTCGAACTAGGAGGGTAATGTAGGCATACCGCACTTGCAAATGAAGCCCGGGATTTGAATTTCCCGGGCTTCATTTGCATAAACTGGGCGCCGCCATTTTTAAATCCCTGCTCGTTCGAACCCCCTACTCCTCATGGAATGAGGAGTAATGGTAGTTTGGAGTAGGAAGCCTAGTCCGAACTACCTAGTTCGTGCCGCGTGTAGCCGCGCGGCACGGGGTTCAAACGAGCAGGGATTTAAAAACGCCCCGTTTATGCAAATGAAGCCCGGGAAATTCAAATCCCGGGCTTCATTTGCAAGTGCGGTATACCTACATTACCACCCTAGTTCGAACTAGCGGGGTAGTGTAGACATACCCATAGATAAATAGATATTTAGCAATTTGACGCATCGTTCCTGTTAGCTAATTGCTACATTATCTGTCAAAAGGAAAACCCATATAACTTTCTCATGTTGAAGCAGCCCCTGGAATACAGATAATATTCCCCTCCCCAAACAGCCTTTGGAATTACAGTTACTATTCCTCCTCCACCGAGCCACCAGACCAAAATCCAAAATGGCTTCCTTCCAGCTGTCTGTGCTGAGGTGGGGGAGAAGTCGTGATGATCCAGTGAGGCATTGAAGGAAAGGAGAAAAATGAGGAGTAGGGTCTTTGGGGACCAGGCACAAGAGATGGGCAGTGGGAATGACACCAAAGCCCTGTTCCACCAATTAGGAATGAGTTCTCCACGGACTGGTTGCACAGTGTGTCACCCTGAAAGAGTGCTGTAAGGTGGCAATGTGTATAATGTCCGCTTGACGGTCCAGTAAGTGAAAGGTCCCACAGTCCAGTAAGGCCCAACAGCCAGACCCTAGACGTCTTTGAATAGAGCTCAGTGGAAGAGCCAGAGAACCAGGAGAAAACCTCAAGTCTCTTTCTTACTAAACAGATGGAGCAGCTTGTTCCTGATCTGCCTGGTCCTCACCCCATAGATGATGGGGTTTAGCATGGCAGGCCCCAGGAGGTAGACGCTGGCAATGAGAACATGAAAATGTGGGGCCACGTTTTGGCCAAATCGATGCGTGAGGTAGGTGAAGAGACCTGGCATGTAGAAAGCTAAAATGGCAGAAAAGTGAGCACTACATGTCCCCAAAGACTTGAGCCAGGCATCTTTGGTGGGGAGGCTGAAGACAGCCCTGAGGATCTGGGTATAGGACACGATGATAAAAAGCACATCCAGACCTGTCACAAAAAATAACACAAAGAGGCCGTAGGAAGTACTGATGCGTGTGTCAGCACAGGCCAGCTTCAGCACAGACAAGTGCTCACAGTACGTGTGGGGGATGATGTTGGTTCTGCAGTACGGCCACTGCCTGGCCAGGAAGAAATTGGGAAGTATGGATAGGCTGCTGCGCAGCACCACGGCCAGGCTAATTTTGGCCACTACAGGGTTGGTCAGGATGGTGGAATGTCTCAGGGGATGGCAGATGGCCACGTAGCGATCCAACGCCATGGCCACAAAGATCCCAGACTCTACTGAAAAAAAGCAGTGAATGAAGAACATCTGGATGAGGCAGGCACTGAAATCGATCTCCCTGGAACCGAACCAGAAGATGCTCAGCATTTTGGGTTGAATGGAGGTGGACAGCACCAGGTCGGTGACAGCCAGCATGCAGAGGAAATAGTACATGGGCTCATGGAGACTGGGCTCCTTCTTCACAATGAACAGGATGGTGAAGTTCCCCAAGAGGGCTATGGCGTACATGACACAGAAGGGGATGGCGATCCAGACGTGGGCTGTCTCCAGGCCAGGAATGACCAGCTGAAGGTGGAGGGGTTGGTGAAGTGGGTGGTGTTGGAATCTGACATGGAGGAGAGGAGAAGGTGGATTCGTCTGAGGCAGTTCCAGCTTCCTGTCTGCTATCTCCTATAAGTGCCGTTCGTTCTCCTGACTTCCTCTGTCTGTCCAGGGTCTCGGATGGTGCTCGATGCATAAATACCTGGAGTGAGAGACAATGTTAGTACTCGACTCAACATGCACTACTGGAAGCTGCTCTCCATGAAGCAGGTTAGTCACTCCTCACACACTTAAATACGCCATTCCCACTCTTCCAAAAAATCAGTTATGAACAACTGCCCCTATTAATGTGAATTCCATCTATGAGGGTGCTCTCGGTGTCTATGATTCCTAAAGTGACACGGTGTGGGAATCAAGGGCCTGACCAAAGTGATTCTATAGCCACCATGAACAGGTTGGATTATGAATTGGAGGGTTGCTAGGCAACTCTCCAACCCCACAACCCACAGGCCATTATACTCTCATCCCACTGAGGAGAGCCAAAAGAAATGACACCCTTTCCTCAAGTCTCTCCCTGGAGAAGCACAGGAACATATTTACACAGCCACATCCCTAGATTCTTGAGAAGGGTTATTCTTTCTGATGGCCAAGATCCATCAGTCTGGGAATCCTGGGCGGTGCCTCACTTCAGGCATTGGAATTTTTTCAGCAGAGTTGTCTGGCTATATAGACTCTCTCTTCAGGCTCTATGCCACCAGCACTCCCAGCTGTCTTTGAGACACCCTGGACATCCTGAGAAAATGACAATCCATTGGTAATGTCCTGAAAAACACCATCCTGGCCACTACAGCTGTAGAAGCTCACGGCACCTACATTCCACACAGAGATGGACTACATGCCGGCGGGAACAGTATCCCTGATGATGTCACCACTTGGTTGCTGAGATTGGCGACTTTGTCTTCATCCAAAACCATTGCAGACTTGTGGATGACGTACACCCGCGTGGCCCTCCAGAATGCCAACGTTGCTGTGGCTGACTTAGAACAATGCTGCTTCAGCTCTCATAGCATCATAGAATCATAGAGCTGGAAAAAGCCTCAGGATGTCATCAAGTCCAGCCTCGTGCCCAAAGCAGGACCAACCCCTACTCAATCATCCCAGCCAGGGCTTTGCTGAGTCGAGACTTAAAGATCTCTAGGGATGGAGATTCCACCACCTCACTAGGGAACCCATCATTTTGGTTGCCCTCCACTGGACCCTCTCCAATGCATCCACATTCTTTCTATAGTGGGGCAGAACTGGGCACAATACTCCAGATGTGGCCTCACCAGAGCCGAATAAAGGGGAATAATCACTTCTCTGGATCTGCTGGCAATGCTCCTCCCAATGAAACATAATATGCCATTAGCCTTCTTGGCTACAAGGGCACACTGTTGACTCATATCCAGCTTCTCATCCACTGGAATTCCCAGGTCCTTTTCTGCAGAACTGCTACTTATTCAGTCGGTCTATAGCCGTAACAATGCTTGGGATTTTTCTGTCCCAAGTGCAGGTCTCTACATTTTTCCTTGTTGAACCTCATCAGATTTCTTTTGGTCCAATCCTCTAATCTGCTAGGTCACTCTGGACCCTATCCCTGCCCTCCAACATATCTACCCCTCCACCTAGGTTAGTGTCATCTGGAAACTTGCTGAGGGTGCAATCCATCCCCTTATCCAGGTCATTAATAAAGATGTTGAACAAAACGGCCCTAGAATCTATCCTTGGGGAACTCTGCTAGAAACCAACCACCAACCTGACATTGAGCAGTTGATCACTACCCATTGGGCCTGACATTCTAGCCAGCTTTCTATCCATCTTACAGTCCATTTATCCAATCCATATTCCCTTTTAATTTACTGGCCAAAATATTTTGGGAGACTATCAAAAGCGTTGCTAAAATCAAGTCTTCCTGGACACACAATTGCAGATCTAAAAGTAGCTATCCTGCAGCAAAAAAACTTCAGGACCAGACTTCAAAGAGAAACTGCTGAGCTACAGTTCATCTTTAAGTTTGACACAATCAACTCTGGATTAAACAAAGACTGTGAATGGCTTGCTAACTACAAAAGCAGCTTCTATTCTCTTGGAATTCACACCTCCAGATCAGCTGCTAGAAGTGGGCCTCATCCTCCTTGATTGGATCCACCTGGTCATCTCCAGCCTGATCCTGGCCTGCATATTTATACCTGCCTCTGGATATTTCCACTACATGCATCTGACGAAGTGGGTCTTTGCCCACGGAAGCTTATGCTCCTACACTTCAGTTAGTCTATACGGTGCCACAGGACTCCTCACTGCTTTTGCTAAAATCAAGGTATATCACATCCTCTGACTTTCCCACGTCCACAGAGCCAGTTTCCTCATCATAGAAGCTAATCAGATTGGTGAGGTATGCCCTTGGTGAATCCATGTTGACTTTTTGTGATCACTTTCCCCTCTTCCAAGTGTTTCAAAATGGATTCCTTGAGGATCGCCTCCATGATTTTTCTGGGGATTGAGGTAAGGCTGAGGGATCTGTAGTTCCCTGGATCGTCCTTCTTCCCTTTTTTGAAGATGGGCACTACATTTGCCTTTTTCCAATCATCTAAGAGCTCTCACAATCTCCACGAGTTTTCAAAGATAATGGACAAAGGCCCTGCAGTGACATTTGCCAACTCCCTCAGTACCCTTGGATGCATTAAATCTGGACCTATGGATTTGTGTATGTTTAAATAGTTTTCTAAATAGTTCCTAATCTGTTCTTTCCCCACCAAGGACTGCCCACCCCTTCCCATACAGTGTTGCCTAGTGCATTAGTTTGGGACCTGACCTTGTCTGTGAAGATAGAGGCAAAGAAAGCATTGTGTACAAATTGCACCTCTTTTACTTGTGCTACATTGGTGACATCTTTGTCATCTGGACCCATGGGAAGGAGGCACTTGAAGAATGCCACAGGGATTTCAACAACTTCCATCCCACCATCAAACTCAGCCTGGACCAGTCCACTCAAAAGATCTACGACCTGGACACTTCAGTTCAAATAAGTAATGATCACACAAACACCACCCTATACCAGAAACCCACTCTACTTACTTACATGCTTTCAGCTTTCTTCGAGAAGGTATCAAGATCCATTTTCTACAGCCAGACCCTAAGATACAACCACATTTGCTCCAATCCCTCGGACAGAAACAAACACCAATAGAATCTCTATCAAGCTTTCTTAAATCTAAGGCTATATCCCCACTGCTCCTTTGTTTTGGCAAAAGCTATGCAAAATGCGGAACGCAGTTTGCATAGCTTTTGCCAATTTTATTTTTTTGGTCTACACCTGGCCAAATTTTGGAAAAGCCTCCTCTTTCAAAGGAGCCCTTATTCCTCACAGAACAAGGAATACAGGGCTCCGCAAAAGAGCACGTTTGCTCTTTTGCAAAAAAAAAAAAAAAAAAATAGAAAGAGCAAACGCATTCCCTGGAAAAAACCCTCAGTGTAGACATAGCGTAAATATATACTTCTAGGCTACGTCTAGACTGGCATGATTTTCCGGAAATGCCTGCCTGGTATAGTGTAGACCAGGCCGAAGAGAGGTAGACGGGTTACTCTGTAACTTCAAGACAATGAGTAGTCCTGCTGTAAGTGAACTTGATCAGATACCTCAATACACTTGGGTTGTGTCTAGACTGGCATTTTTGCGATCGGGGCTTTTTTGCGAAAAACATATCTGAGCTGTCTACTCTGGCCCTTTTGTGCAAAAGTTTTGCTCAAAAGGGACTTTTGCACAAACGGGAGCAGCATAGTATTTCCGCAAGAAGCACTGATTTCTTACAGTAGGAAGTCAGTGCTTTTGCGGAAATTCAGGTGGCCAGTGTAGACAGCTGGCAAGTTTTTCCGGAAAAGTGGCTGATTTTCTGGAAAAACTGGCCAGTCTAGACACAACCCAAGTGTATTGAGGTATCTGATCAAGTTCACTTACAGCAGGACTACTCATTGTCTTGAAGTTACAGAGTAACCCGTCTACCTCTCTTCGGCCTGGTCTACACTATACCAGGCAGGCATTTCCGGAAAATCATGCCAGTCTAGACGTAGCCTTGGTTCCCTAATGAAGAAAAAGTGAATCTTTGGCTTAAACCTGGTTCAGTCCCAGCAGCAATATGGGGAGGGAGCAGCAGTATATAATAAATAGTATAAAGCAAAGCAAAGATAGCAAGCCACACAAATTGAAAGCTATGAAAACTGATGTGTCGTTAAAGACATCAGGGAAAATCTTTGCTTTCCAGGGCCAAATATAAGGAAAAAGAGAAGTTATTAAGTACATTAAGAACAAAAGAAATCCTAGAAAAGGTTTAGAATAAATCATAGAGGTTGAAAGGAAATTTGTCAATTACATATGAATAAAATTACTGCTAATGAACAACAGGGGCTTACAAAAAAAACCAACTATTTCCTTTTTCAGTAGGGCTATGTCTAGACTGCAGGCTTCTTTCGAAAGAGCCTCTTTCGAAAGATCGCGTCTAGACTGCAGGCGGATCTTTCGAAAGAGCAATCCGCTTTTTCGAAAGAGAGCACCCAGCGAGTCTGGATGCTCTCTTTCGAGGAAGCCCTATTTACATTGAAGAACGCCTTCTTTCGAAAGAGGAACTTTCGAAAGAAGGCGTTCTTCCTCATGAAATGAGGTTTACCGTCATCGAAAGAAAAGCCGCGTTCTTTCGAAATAATTTCGAAAGAACGCGGCTTGAGTCTGGACGCAGGGGAAGTTTTTTCGGAAAAAGTAGCCTTTTCCCGAAAAACCCCCTGAGTCTGGACACAGCCTAGGGGAACACATTTCACTAAAAATTAACACTCTACAGTACATCTCAGAGGGGTAGCCCTGTTAGTCTGTTACTTTAAAAAACAACAAGTAATCCTGTGGCATCCTAAAAACAAACCAAAATATATAGAATCATGAGTTTTCATGGGCAAAATCTACATCATCAGATGAATTGGAGTGGGAACAACAGAAACCAAGAGATATATAGAAGAGCAGAAGAAGTACCGGTCAATGTTAGGATGCTAATTAAATGGGCTGTCTGTGTCCCCTGCATAGCATTTCATGTGGAAATGCAGATGCAAATGTCAGAATAAACTGTATTTGTAATGCACAAACCGGTTAACGCATTTGTTCAAGCCCAGGGTAAGGGTATCAAATCGGTAGGTGAGAACATTTCCACACACTCTCTGGAACTGGCTGGTGAAATTCCTTTGGAGATGAATGGCTACTTTGCAATCCATGCTTGAATTCCCAGGCTTGTTAAAACGTTCCCCTGCAGATCTCTCTGTGTTACTATTTCTGAGGTCTGATTTCTGTCCATTTACCTTTCGTCGCAGAGACTGTTTGGCCAAGATACCTGGCAGAGGGGCCTTGCTGGAAAAGTACATGTAAAAGGGACTAAAACCTGGCTGACAGATCTAAGCAAGCAGTTTCTGTAGGCCATTGTCTGTGAAAGGACTCACTGACTCCGGAGGTCTTGTCCAGTCCTGTGATTCTATGATCCTATGGTGTCAGTACTAGGTGTAAGGCTATTCAATATTTTGATAATTAAGTGGAAGAAAATAGAAAATCACTGCAGAGAAAATCTGCGAATTACTCAAAGATCTGGAGAAAGATTCAATGAGTTGAACGGGGCAGGCACATTCACCGAGCTGGAGAGTTTTAATAATACAATGAAAATGTATCGTATCGGAACAGGGAACGCCAGCCCAAGCCACAGACTAGGGCACTGCATTATGGACCACAGGGACCTTGAAAAGGGTTTAGAGGTCACCATGGACACCCAACTCAACCTGACTGCTCAGTGAGATGCTGTTGATGAATAATGTGGATGAGATTCTTGGATATACAAACCTGGGAGTGGGGAGCTGGAACAGGGAAGGATTTTCCCTCTGCACAGGACAATTGTGAAACTGACTCTCTCTAGTTCTGGGGTCCACATTTCAAAAAGGATGTTGAAATATTGGGAAGGGGGCAAAAAAGAGCCACCAAGATGATTGGAGGCTAGAAAAATACCGCACAGAATGAGACTTAAAGAGCTTCACCTACTTATCCAATAGACAGTCAAGTGAGAAGTTTATGGGGAGAGAACCATGGGTAAGAACGGGCTCTTTGATCTCGCAGAGAAAGGCAGAACAAGACCCATAGTCTGGAAGCAGATGCCAGACAAATTCCAGTTGGCTATAAGGGACAAATATTTAGCACTGCAACATGTAACAGCCTAACCCCCTCAGCTCCAGTTACCGACCAAAGCCCTGAGAGGCCAAGGGAGCAGGTGACAGGCACTGTGCATTTACACACAGCTGGCTCTTCAGGCGTTTCCTCAGCTCTTTCTCCAAGGGACGTTTTGCCTCAGTGACGCCTGAGCTATGCACAGGCTACGGCCTCAGAGTCTGACCTGGTATCACACATTTACTAACCCCTTTCATCCTGAGGGATCCTGCATGCCTCTGAAATGCAGCCCCCTTGGGAACGGAGGGTGCAGAAAAGTGAGTTTTCACGAGTGATGCTGGAGCAAACTCATCATCACCACAGGATGTTTGATGTTTGCGAGGGGTGGGGAGGACGCCAGACTGACTCTACCTCATCCTGCTTACCTGGCACTGGGTCTGCGGAGCAGGCGAGTCATCAGCAAGAGCTGGTCCCTGGGAGTGCTGAGAGGGAAGCGTGTTCCCTGGGACTCCCCCTCAGGCAGCTGCATCCCACACCTCTCTCAGCCCAGCAGCAGCTGAAATATCCTACGCCACCAGCGGTCAGAGGGGTATTTATAACATAGCTCCGTGCAGTCGTAGTGGGGTTCGCTCTGCCTCTGGAGTGGGGTTCGCTCTGCCTCTGGTGCAAAACCAGCATCTGAATGTAAACAGGTTGGAGCTCAGCCCCTGTGCTTCTGGGCTCTTTATCCAGCTGTGGGAGTAAACAGCAATTAAGGGCTCTTCCCAACAGGCAAGGAGAACTCCTGGGCTCAGGGCTGAGTCAGGGAGGAATTGGCTGCTATGTGTGTTTGTGTGTATTTCACAGTTATAGCTGGTTAGGAAGAAAAACTACTTCCCCATAGGGTCTCATATCTGCCTACCTATCTATTGACCTTTCTTTCTCCCTACACTCCATCTACCTGTCTATCTATCCCCTGCTCCCCCTCCATATATTCGAACTAGGACCTGCAACTAACGCCACCAGGCCTGAGGGCACTGCGGATGGGTGGTCCCACAGGCAGCTAAGTAGGCGTGAGACAGCTCCAATGCATCGCCCAGCTCTGTCTGTCGGAAGGATGCTCTGGGCCTTGATGACAAGACGCAGCTCAGGAGTGCAGCACCCGAGAAAGGGGGCATGCGGGTGTCTCCTGGGGCTTTACGAGGAGAGCGTGTGACTGGAGGAATAGGATATTGGGGTTCACCTGGATAAGCTATTGAGAGGTGGCTGCAGCAGACACTCAGCGGGTCACGCCCAGCTCTCCTTTCGCTTTGGTACCGCTGTGCCCCTCACCCTGCTCCTGGCCCCAGGCCGTGTGTCTTAACTGCAGCTCCCGCACCTGGAGCTCAGCTCTGACCAGTCCCAAATACAGGAGGCCGGCTGCAAGAACGACACTGGGAACACTCCTCCCAGCCCTGAGTGTAGGTCCCGATGGCAGGGCCTGGGCTGGACTCTACTCCCACCCCCAGCCTCAGCCCCCTTTCCCCTGTCTGACCCTCCTCCCACCTTCTGGAGCCACAGTGCTGTCCCGGAGGCAGGACTGGATACAGAGGCACAGCTGGAGTAAGGAGGGATGTGCCATATACAGTTCCAGCACCACTGGCTTTTAGCACCTCTGTGGTTAGAGCTGCTCAGAGTAGTCTTGTGTCACCTCAGAGCAGGGGTGGGGAACCTAAGGCCCAGAGACCGGATATGGCCCCCGGGGCCTGGATCTGGCCCCCAAAGTTTAGGGCCTTCTCCAGCATTGGGGAGCGCACGGTGGTACTCCCACTTCTCCTCCCGACCATCTTCCCACAACCTCCAACCCCAGACTGATTTTTCTATAAGAACATAAGAACGGCCGTTCTGGGTCAGACCAAAGGTCCATCTAGCCCAGTTTCTTTATCGGCCCTCTCCACACCACTCATGATTTTATAGACCTCTATCATATCCCCCCTCCTTCTCCTCTTTTCTAAACTGAAAAGTCCCAGTCGCTTTAACCTCTCTTCATATGGGACCTGTTCCAAACCCCTAATCATTTTAGTTGCCCTTTTCTGAACCCTTTCCAAGGCCAAAATATCTTTTTTGAGGTGAGGAGACCACATCTGTACACAGTATTCAAGATGTGGGCGTACCATAGTTTTATACAGGAGCAGTAAGATATTCTGTGTCTTACTTTCTATCCCTTTCCTAATAATTCCTAGCATCCTATTTGCCTTTTTGACCGCCGCTGCATACTATGGGTTAGGGGCCCCCAAAACAAAAAAGATTCCCCAGCCCTGTCCTAGAGACTAACAGAAATAAATAGTGCAAAACCCACTTCCGCAGATGAGTTGATCTTGGGCTCCAAAAAAAGGGGGGTCGACTCAGAATAAGAAGGGAGGGAGTAAAGGAAAAGAACCCCTCTATTGTAGTCCTGGGGCTAATGAGGCTGAGTGAGCTGGATGGGTCCCCAAATGTAGCTTTTTATGCTAAGGGGGTGTTGAATATAAGGAAAACTGGTGTACAATGGGTTAATCAGATCAAGTCCACATTCAGACCAAGTGAGGCAGTGCCACATTTGCATAGGAAGGTCCATTCCCCACTTGCACTCTGTAACTGACTGGTGACATTCCTTTGTAGAAAGTTGGCTGCTTTTCAATCCATTCACGAGTGATCAGGCAGGTTAAAACATCCCCTTGAGGGTTTCTGGGTGTTACCATTTCTGAGGTCGGACTTGTAACCAGTTCTCAGGCATGTGCTAGGAAAACAAGAAGTGTGCATATGCATAGATACTTGCCCAGAGATGGCACTCAAGAACATGCAGCATAGTTTCCAGATTCTGTGGGACTAATCAAACTTCTTGCGGTGCACTGCGAATGGCTTCTTGAGTGCAGCTCTTCACACTGATGGCATGTCTGGCATTCATGCTTTATCGCTGCTGTTACCCAATGGATACATTCCCAGAGGAGCACTGGTATCAGTTTTTGATACTGTACTGAACTCGCAAAGATGCACTGACACAATATGATGTCACATGCATCTGACGAAGTGGGTCTTTGCCCACGAAAGCTTATGCTCCAACACTTCAGTTAGTCTATAAGGTGCCACAGGACTCCTCGTCGCTTTTGCAGATTCAGACTAACACGGCTACCCCTCTGATACTTGACAGTTCTCCTTCGGCGCAGAGACTGTCCGGTTTGACCAATGCCCACGGCACAGGGGCATTGCTGGCATCTGACGGTGTACATCACATTAGGGGATGGGCAGTTGTATGAACATCTGGTGTGGTGGCTGATGTGCTTAGGGCCTGTGATGGTCTGGGATTCATAGATGTGGGGAGAGATTGTCGGTGGTGTTTGTGCATAGAACCATAGAAACTCAGATGGGGTCGGCGGGGAACCGGTCTTCAGCCCCACAGAACGTGTGAGATGTACAGGATGGAGGCGGGGCTGCTGGAGAACTGGTCTGAGCCCTGCAGCAGGTGGGGACCACCCGGGAACAGCGTTTCAGCCCTGCCGCAGCAAAAGGTTTCAGTTATGTGGTGGGTAGGGGTAGCCCGGGAATGGGGCTGAGCCAGGTTTGCTGACACTCCTACCTGGTTTCTTCCTTGACACCCTGCCTGATAAACATGTGCTGGTGCCTGTTGTACCGCCAGCCATAACTAGGAGGTGGCAGTGGCTGCACTGACCAGGGAACTCTGGTGCCAGGAAGGGGCCCGCAATTATGGGATATTTTGCCCCTTCTTAAAAAAAAGTGAAAAATACGAAAATACGGGGCAGTCCCAGTGACAACAGCACAGATGCTCACCTGACTAATAGCTATTCATTTCATTTTATATACATATATATATATTTATCAATTTGATGCAACACTCCTTTTAGCTAACTGCTACTATATGTGTCCAAAAAAACCCCATAACTTTCAAATGTTGAAGTAGCCATTGGAATTACAGTTACAATTCCTCTCCCCACCCAGCCCCCAGAAAGAAATCCAAAATGGCTTCCTTCCAGCTGTGTGGGCTGAGGCAGGGGAGAAGTGGCGATGATCCAATGAGGTGCTGAGGTGCAGGAGAGAAACAAGGAGTAGGAGTTGGAATTTTGGGGACCAGACACAAAAAATGGGCAGTGGATAGGGCACCAAAGCCCAGTTCCATCAATTAGGAATGAGTTCTCCACAGACTGGTTACACAGTGTGTCACCCTGAAAGAGCACTGTAAGGCGGGAATGTGTTTAATGTCTGCTTGACCGTCCAGTAAGTCAGTAAGAGATAAGGCCCAACAGCCAGACCCTAGACATAGAATCATAGAATCATAGAATAATAGGACTGGAAGGGACCTCGAGAGGTCATCGAATCCAGGCCCCCGCCCTCAAGGCAGGATCAAGCTCCGTCTACACCATCCCTGACAGATGTCTATCTAACCTGTTCTTAAATATCTCCAGAGAGGGAGATTCCACCACCTCTCTTGGCAATTTATTCCAATATTTGACCACCCTGACAGTTAGGAATTTTTTCCTAATGTCCAATCTAAACCTCCCCTGCTGCACTTTAAGCCCATTACATCTTTGAATGGAGCTCAGTGGAAGAGCCGGAGAACCAGAAGGAAAACTCAGGTCTCTTTCTTAATAAATAGACAGAGTAGTCTGTCCCGGATCTGCCTGGTCCTCACCCCATAGATGATGGGGTTCAACATGGGAGGTACCAGGAGATAGATGGTGCCAATGAGAATGTGAAAGTGCAGGGCCACGTTGTGGCCAAACCGGTGCGTGAGAAATGAAAAGAGACCTGGGATGTAGAAAGCTAAAATGGCAGAAAAGTGAGCGCTGCAGGTCCCAAAAGTCTTGAGCCAAGCATCTTTGGTGGGGAGGCTGAAGACGGCCCTGAGGATCTGAGTATAGGACACCATGATAAAAAGCACATCCAGACCTGTCACAAAAAATACCACAAAAAGGCCGTAGGAACTACTGATACTGATGTCGGCACAGGCCAGCTTCACCACAGCCATGTGCTCACAGTACGTGTGGGGGATGATGTTGGTTCTGCAGTACGGCCACTGCCTGGCCAGGAAGAAATTGGGCAGTATGAATATGCTGCTGCGCAGCACCACAGCCAGGCTAAATTTGGTCACTACAGGGTTTGTGAGGATGGTGCAGTATCTCAGGGGATGGCAAATGGCCACGTAGCGATCAAAGGCCATGGCCACGAAGATCCCAGACTCTATTGAAAAGAAGCAGTGAATGAAGAACATCTGGGTGAGGCAGGCGCTGAAATCGATCTCCCTGGAATTAAACCAGAAGATACTCAACATTTTGGGCAGGATGGAGGTTGTCAGGACCAGGTCGGTGACGGCCAGCATGCAGAGAAAATAATACATGGGCTCATGGAGACTGGACTCCTTCTTCACAATGAACAGGATGGTGGAGTTCCCCAAGAGGGCTATGACATACATGGCACAGAAGGGGATGGAGATCCAGACGTGGGCTGTCTCCAGCCCAGGGAGGGGTTGGTGAAGTGGGTGGCATTGGTATCTGCCATGAAGGAAAGGCGAAGGTGGATTAGTCTGAGGCAGTTCCAGCTTCCTGTCTGCTATTTCCTGTAGGCGCCGTTTGTTCTCCTGACTTCTTCTATCTGTCCTTGGTGTAGGATGGTGCTCGATGCATAAATACCTGGAGTGAGAGACATTTATTTACACAACCTCTTTATTTAATATATTGGAGGTGGCTTAACATTTTTTTAAAACACCATTTTAGTACTCAACACGATATGCACTACTGGAGGCAGCTCTCTTGAGCGAAGCAGGTTGGTCACTCCTCACGCATTTAAATACACCCTTCCTGCTCTACTACTGCCCCTATTTATGTGAATTCCATCTGTGAGGGTGCTCCCAGTGCCAATAATTCCTAAAATGACATGGTATGGGAATCAAAGAGACCGACAAAGGAGATGTGGTAGCCACCAAGAAAAGGTTGGATTATGAATTGGAGGGTTGCAATGAGTTGGACCAGGCAGACACACTGACCAAGCTGGAAAATTATAATGAAGACCATTGAAAATGTATCGTATCAGAAGAGGGAACGCCGGACCAAGCCACAGACTAGGTCACTGCGTTATGGAAAACAGGGACCTTGAAAAGGGTTTAGAGGTCACCATGGACACCCAACTCATCCTGACTGCTCAGTGTGATACTGTTGATGAATAATGTGGATAAGATTCTTGGATATGCAAACCTGGGAGCGGAGAGCTAGAACAGGGAAGGATTTTCCCTCTGCACAGGACAATTGTGAAACTGACTCTCTCTAGTTCTGGGGTCCACATTTCAAAAAGGATGTTGAAATATTGGGAAGGGGGCAAAAAAGAGCCACCAAGATGATTGGAGGCTAGAAAAATACTGCACAGAATGAGACTTAAAGAGCTTCACCTACTTATTCAAAAGACAGTCAAGTGAGAAGTTCACGGGGAGGGAACCATGGGTAAGAACGGGCTCTTTGATCTCGCAGAGAAAGGCAGAACAAGACCCATAGTCTGGAAGCAGATACCAGACAAATTCCAGTTGGCTCTAAGGGCCAAATATTTAGCACTGAGGGGGATTAGCCATTGTGACACACTGCAAAGGGAAATGGTGGATCCTCCAACTCCCCATGTCTGTTGACCCAGTCTGGATGGTTTTCTGGGAGATCTGGTGAGAGATTGCCTGCAATTCAAACTTGAAAGCAGCCCGGCTAAACAGCGTTCCTGTAGATACTACCTACACCCCGTATAGCGGTCCTCCATCGGCCTAGTAGTCCTCTTACCTGAGAGCTGAGAGCCAGGTCAATGGAAGGATTCATGTATTGGCCTCATGCCATCTATGCCATGGTTAGGTTGCTATAGTTACATCATCTAGGGCCATGGATTTTTTTATTTCTTGAAAAAAAAATACAATGCAATTTTGGGCTGCATTAACTGAGGCCTACCATGCACGTCATGGGAGGGGATCGAATGCCTCTCTCTCCACAGGCTAGGCCTCCACAGGGTATGGTTTCCAGTTTTGGTTGCCAATGTATTGAACGGAGGTAGAAACACTGGAAAGGATCCAGAGATGAGAGACAAAGATGATCCAAGGGATGGAACAAAAACCAGGTGGGGGAAAAAAAGGCTGAGGGAACTGTACAAATGTAATTTGAAAGAAGAAGAAACTGAGGGACGTCACTGCGGTTTTCAGATACTCACAAGATGAATATAAAAAGGTGGAGAATGGACGTTGTCCACAACAGGCCGGAGAAGAGGCAAAACATTTAAATGGCTCCAGTGAGGAGCCCTTCCATATCTGTGCTTGTCAGTAGAAGTGAGTCGTGTAACAGCCTAATACCCCCTAAACTCCAGTTACCAGCCAGAGCTCTGAGATGCCAGGGGAGCAGGTGACGGGCACCGTACAATAACACACAGCTGGCTCCTCAGCTCTTTCCTCAGCTCTTTCTCCAAGGGACGTTTTGCCTCAGTGACTCCTGAGCAATGCACAGGACATGGCCTCAGAGTCTGACCTGGTATCACACATCTACTAACCCCTTTCATCCTGAGGGATCCTGCGTGCCACTGAAATGCAGCCCCCTTGGGAACGGAGGGTGCAGAAAAGTGAGTTTTCACGAGTGATGCTGGAGCAAACTCATCATCACCACAGGATGTTTGATGTCTGTGAGGGGTAAGGAGGATGCCAGATTGACTCTACCCCATCCCACTCACCTGGCACTGGGTCTGCGGAGCAGGCGAGTCATCAGCAAGAGCTGGTCCCTGGGAGTGCTGAGAGGGAAGCGTGTTCCCTGGGACTCCCCCTCAGGCAGCCGCGTCCCGCACCTCTCTCAGCCCAGCAGCAGCTGAAATATCCTACGCCACCAGCGGTCAGAGGGGTATTTATAACATAGCTCCGTGCAGTCGCAGTGGGGTTCGCTCTGCCTCTGCTGCAAAACCAGCATCTGGATGTAAACAGGTTGGAGCTCAGCCCCTGTGCTTCTGGGATCTTTATCCAGCTTTGGGAGTAAACAGCAATTAAGGGCCCTTCCCAAGGGGAAGAGGAGAATTCCTGGGCTCTGGGCTGTGTCAGGGAGGAATTGGCTGCTCCCTGCCTTTGTTTGTATTTCACAATTATAGCTGGTTAGGAAGGAAAAATGAGTTCTCCATGGGGTCTGAAATCTGCCTATTTGTCTAATTATCTTTATGTCTGTCTTCATCCACTATGTCTCTCTGTCTTTGTGAATCTATCTAGCTCCATCTACTCTATCTATCTATTTATCTATCCCCATATATCCTCTCTCTCTCTCTCTCGCTCACTCTCTATCCTTATACACCTCATCTATCTATCTCTCTGTTTATCTCTCTATCTATCTATCACCTCTCCAGCTCCATATATTCGAACCAGGCCCTACAACTAAGGCCTGACAGCACTGAGGATGGGTGGACCCACAGGCAGCTTGGTAGGTGTGAGACAGCTCCAATGTACCACCCTGACCTGGCTTTGAGAAGGAAGCCCTGGACCTTTAAGAGAAAACGCAGCTTAGGGTTGGAGCAGACGAGAAAGGAGTCATGCGGGTGTCTCCTGGGGCTTTACGAGTAGAGCGTGTGTCGGGGGGAATAAGATATCGGGGTTAACCTGGCTAAGCTATTGAGGGGTGGCTGCAGCAGACACTCAGCGGGTCACACCCAGCTCTCCTTTCACTTTGGTACCGCTGTGCCCCTCACCCTGCTCCTGGCCCCAGGCCGTGTGTCTTAACTGCAGCTCCCACACCTGGAGCTCAGCTCTGACCAGTCCCAAATACAGGAGGCCGGCTGCAAGAACTACGCTGGCAACGCACCTCCCAGCCCTGAGTGTAGGTCCCGACTGCAGGGCCTGGTCAGGACTCTGCTCCCACCCCCAGCCACAGCCCGCTTGGCCCTGTCTGCACCTCCTCTCACCTCTGTAGAGCTATGAAGATGTGCTGCAGCCAGGACTGGAGATAGAGGCACAGCTGGAGTAAGGAGGGATGTGCCATACACAGGTCCAGGACCATTGGCTTTTAGCACACCCTCGGTTAGAGCTGCTCGGAGTAGTCCTGTGTCACCTCAGAACAGGGGTGGGGAACCTAAGGCCCAGGGGCCGGATGTGGCCCCTAAGTGGCCTGGACCTGGCCACCAAAGCTTAGGGCTTCCTCCAGCATTGGGGAGTGTGCATTAGTACTCCAGATTTCCCCTCCCCCACCCCCGCAGCATCTCCCCACAGCCCCCAAACCCGGACTGATTTTTCTATGGGTTAGGGGCCACCAATCAAAAAAAGTTTCCCCAACCCTGCCCTAGAGACTAACAGAAATCAATAGTGCAAAACCCACTTCCACAGATGAGATGATCTTGGGATCCAAAAAAGGGGGTGGGCACAGAATAAGAAGGGAGGGAGTAAAGGAAAAGAACCCCTCTATTGTAGTCCTGGGGGTAATGAGGCTGAGTGAGCTGGATGGGTCCCCTACGTAGCTTTTCATGCTAAGGGGGTGCTGAATGTAAGGAGTGTTGAATGGAAGGAAATCTGGTGTACAATGCATTAATCATCTCAAGTCCACATTCAGAGCACATGAGACGGTGCCTGCAAATACGAGACATATTGCCCCTTCTGAAAAAAAGAGTCTGGACACCTGGAAGTCAGCTTAAACATGGGGCAGTCCCAGTGACAATGGCAAGGATGTTCACCCGACTAATAGGTATTCTTTTCGTGTTTATACATATTTAGCAATGTGATGCATCTATCCTGTTAGCTAATTGCTACGTTATCGGTAAAAACAAAAACCCCACATAACTTTCAAATCCTGAAGTAGCCTTGAGATTACAGATTATATTTCCCTCCCCAAACATCCCCCAGACCAAAATCCAAAATGGCTTCCTTCCAGCTGTATTTCCTGAGGCGGTGGAGAAGTGGTGATGATCCAGTCAGGCATTGAGGGAAAGGAGAGAAATGAGGATCTTTGGGGACCAGGCATAAGAGATGGGCAGTGGGTAGGGCACCAAAGCCCTGTTCCACCAATTAGGAACGAGTTCTCCACAGAGTGGTTACACAGTGTCCCCCCCTAAAAGAGCACCGTAAGGCGGGAATGTGTTTAATGTCTGCTTGACCGTCCAGTAAGTCAGTCAGGGTATGTCTACACTACCCTCCTAGTTCGAACAAGGAGGGTAATGTAGGCATACCGCACTTGCAAATGAAGCCCGGGATTTGAATTTCCCGGGCTTCATTTGCATAAGCGGGGCTCCGCCATTTTTAAAACCCCGCTCGTTCGAACCCTGTGCCACGCAGCTACACGGGGCACGAACTAGGTAGTTTGAACTAGGCTTCCTCATTCCATGAGGAGTAACGGTAGTTCGAACTAGGAAGCCTAGTTCGAACTACCTAGTTCGTGCCCCGTGTTGCCGCGCTGCCCGGGGCTCGAACCAGCGGGGTTTTAAAAATGGAGGCGCCCCGCTTATGCAAATGAAGCCCGGGAAATTCAAATCCCGGGCTTCATTTGCAAGTGCGGTATGCCTACATTACCCCGCTAGTTCGAACTAGGAGGGTAGTGTAGACATACCCTCAGGGATAAGGCCCAACAGCCAGCCCCTAGACGTCTGTGAATGGAGTTCAGTGGAAGAGCCGGAGAACCAGAAGGAAAACTCAGGTCTCTTTCTTAGTAAATGGACAGAGTAGCCTATCCCGGATCTGCCTGGTCCTTACCCCATAGATGATGGGGTTCAGCATGGGGGGCACAAGGATGTAGATGCTGCCAATGAGTACGTGGAAATGCAGGGCCACATTGTGGCCAAACCGGTGCGTGAGATAGGAGAAGAGAGCTGGAATGTAGAAAGCTAAAATGGCCGAAAAGTGAGCGCTACACGTCCCAAAAGTCTTGAGCCAAGCATCTTTGGTGGGGAGGCTGAAGACGGCCCTGAGGATCTGGGTATAGGATATCATGATAAAAAACACATCTTGGCCCGTCACAAAGAATATCACGAAGAGGCCATAGGAACGTGTGTCAGCACAGGCCAGCTTCAGCACAGACAAGTGCTCACAGTACGTGTGGGGGATGATGTTGGTTCTGCAGTACGGCCACTGCCTGGCCAGGAAGAAATTGGGCAGTATGAATATGCTGCTGCGCAGCACCACGGCCAGGCTAATTTTGGCCACTACAGGGTTGGTCAGGATGGTGGAATGTCTCAGGGGCTGGCAGATGGCCACGTAGCGATCCAACGCCATGGCCATGAAAATCCCTGACTCTATAAAAAAGAAGCAGTGAATGAAGAACATCTGGGTGAGGCAGGCACTGAAATCGATCTCCCTGGAATTGAACCAGAAGATGCTCAGTGTTTTGGGCAGGGTGGATGTGGACAAGACCAGGTCGGTGACGGCCAGCATGCAGAGGAAATAGTACATGGGCTCATGGAGGCTCAGCTCCCTCTTGACAATGAACAGGATGGTGAAATTCCCCAGCACGGATATGGTGTATGTGCTGCAGAAGGGGATGGAGATCCAGGCGTAGGCTGTCTCCAGGCCAGGAAAGCCCAGCAGGATGAAGTTGGAGGGATTACTGAAGTGGGTGGTGTTGGAATCTGACATGGAAGAAAGGAGAAGGTAGATTTCTCTGATGTAGTTCCAGCTTCCTATCTGCTATTTTCTGTAAGTTCCGTTCGTTCTCCCGACTTCCTCTATCTGTCCAGGGTGTAGGATGGTGCTCACAGCATAAAAACCTGGAATAAGAGACATTTATTTATTTATTTATTTAAAATATTTTTACCCAGCCTCTCTATTTAAAATATTGGAGGAGGCTTACAATTTTTTAAAAAAACACCATTTTAGTACTCGATACAACATGCACTACCGGAGGCTGTTCTTGTGCATGAAGCAGGGAGGTCATTCTTCAAAGAAACAACTGCCCCGATTAATGTGAATTCCATGTGTGAGGGAGCTCCCAGTGTCAATAGTTCCTGAAGTGACACGGTGTGGGAATCAATCCTGCTGGAAAGGGATAACAAGTGGAGTTCCTCAAGGGTCTGTTTTGGGACCCGTACTGTTCAATATCTTCATCAATGATGTAGATATTGGGATAGAGAGTACTCTTATTAAGTTTGCAGATGATACCAAACTGGGTGGGGTTGCAACTTCTTTGGAGGATAGGGACATAATTCAAAATGACCTTAGCAAGTTAGAGAAATGGTCAGAGGTAAACAGGATGAGGTTTAATAAGGAGAAATGCAGAGTGCTCCACTTAGGAAGGAACAATCAGTTCCATACATACAAGATGGGAAGCGACTGTCTAGGAAGGAGCATGGCGGAAAGGGATCTAGGGGTCATAGTGGACCACAAGTTGAATATGAGTCAACAGTGTGATGCTGTTGCAAAAAAAGCAAATATGATTTTAGGTTGTATCAACAGGTGTGTTGTAAGCAAAACTCGTGAAGTCATTCTGCCGCTCTATTCTGCACTAGTTAGGCCTCAGCTGGAGTACTGTGTCCAGTTCTGGGCGCCACATTTCAAGAAAGATGTGGAGAAATTGGAAAGGGTACAGAGAAGAGTGACAAGAATGATTAAAGGTCTAGAGAAGCCTATGAAGCCAGGCTTCATGAACTGGGCTTGTTTAGTTTGGAAAAAAGAAGATTAAGGGGGGACATGATAGTGGTTTTCAAATATCTAAAAGGGTGTCACAAGGAGGAAGGTGAAAATTTGTTCCTCTTGGTTTCTGAGGACAGGACATGGAGTAATGGGCTTAAAGTGCAGCAGGGGAGGTTTAGATTGGACATTAGGAAAAAATTCCTAACTGTCAGGGTGGTCAAATATTGGAATAAATTGCCAAGGGAGGTGGTGGAATCTCCCTCTCTGGAGATATTTAAGAACAGGTTAGATAGACATCTGTCAGGGATGGTGTAGACGGAGCTTGGTCCTGCCTTGAGGGCGGGGGGCTGGACTCGATGACCTCTCGAGGTCCCTTCCAGTCCTATTATTCTATGATTCTATGATTCTACAGCCCTGGGCAGAGCGTGGGGGTGAGACTGGCTCTGCAGCTCAGTGGGGCAGCCCCACCTGGGAGCCCATAGTCCAGCCCTCATCCCCAGTGACCTGCAATTACTGACCCATAATTCAGTGAGGGGAGGGGCACGGCCCCGGCACAGCAGTGTCTGAGGCCATGGGAGCCGGGTTCCCTTGCACCAATGCAGCTGCCCCCATGCAAACCCCCAGCGCAGCCACGTGGTGTGAACTGGGACTGGCCCCCAGAGCAGGTTGTTCCAGGTGGATGGGGCAGGAAGTCAGGAATTGCCCCCTCCCCTCCCCACTGCCCTCATTGGCAACAGCCCATTGGTTTGCAATTACACCCCCCTCCCATCCTCTGCTGCCCTGCCCCTCCTAGGATCCCTCTGGGTGGGGCTGAGCCAGGGAAGTGGAGACCCCTCCCCTCCCCTCGACTTCCCTTCCTTTCCTATGTTTGTCCTTACGCTCCACCCCTGGGGCCTGGGCACCTCTGCTGCTCAGGCAGGTTTGCAGAGGGGCTGGGGAATCGGGTGCTAATAGTTTATCGTCAGAACAATTCGATTTGGGGTCCCGTGAAACTGCTCCCAGCCCCAGGCTGAATTTGCTGGCGAGTGTCTATGGACAGAACCAGGTGCCACCACTTTCAGTTAGTAAATAGATAAGACAGACAAAGAAAGTGCTGTTATCCCCGATTTATGGGGGTGGGGGGACAGGATAGAGGTCTCTAAAAGCAGGAGTTGGGTGGAGAGGGTGCATACAGAAAAGTTCTTCATTCGTTCCCATATAGAAGGACTAGAGGACACCAAAGGAAAGGAATGGGTAGCAGGCTTCAAACTAGTAACAGAAAGTTGTTCTTCACAAAGCAAAGAGTCAACCTGTGGAACTCCTTGCTGCAGGAGGCTGTGAAGGCTAGAACTAGAACAGAGTTTAAAGGGAAGTGAGATCAAGTCATGGAGGTTGGGTCCATGGAGTGGTATTAGCCAGGAGGTAGGAGTGGTGTCCCTGGGTGGCCAGGCTGGCAGCTCTCCTTCCCTAGATGGCCACTGTCCTGTGCCTAGTGCGAAGAGTGTGGACAAGGTCCACGATGTCCGCACTATCCCAGGTGGGTGCCCGCCTCTTGCAGTCCCAGGCAAGCTCCCGGGAGCCGCCAGACTGGTCCCGGGAAGAGGGGGAGGGCTGGGGGACATCGGGTGGGTGGCTCGATCCGTGCCAGGTGCAGGGTCTGCTGGCTGGGTGCTGGCAGGCTTGCACCTGGCACGGGCACCGTAGCCATCCCGTGCCCCTTTAAGAGGTCCGGGGCTGTGAGGGGGGCAGAATAGTTTCCCTGGTGTTGGCCAGAGTGGCCACCAGGGAAACCTGGGAAGGGCTAGCCTTCCACTAGTTGAATTAAGGGGCTACACACCCCTTAATTCGAACTAGCTAGTTCGAACTAGGCTTAATCCTCGTAAAATGAGGGTTTCCTAGTTCGAACTAAGCGCTCCGTTAGTTCGATTTAAATTTGAACTAACGGAGCGCTAGTGTAGCGCCTATGAAAGTTAGTTCGAACTAACGTCCATTAGTTCAAACTAACTTTGCAGTGTTGACATACCCTGACAAAGGAGATGTGGTAGACACCATAAAAAGGTTGGACTATGAATTGGAGGGTTGCAGTGAGTTGGACCGGGAAGTCTCATTGACCGAGCAGGAGAATTTTAATACAGTCTAATGAAAATATATCGTATTGGAACAGGGAACGCCGGCCCAAGCTACAGACTAAGGCACTGTATTATGGACCACAGGGACCTTAAAATGGTGTGTTGTGAAAAGTCTTCTCGTGTCTTGCTCACAACACACCTGTTAATGCATCCCAGAATCATGTTTGCTTTGTTTGCAACAGCATCACACTGCTGACTCATATTTAACTTGTGGTCCACTATAACCCCTAGATCCTTTTCTGCCCTACTCCTTCCCAGATAGTCGCTTGCCATTCTGTATGTATGAAACTGATTGTTCCTTGCTAAGTGGAGCGCTTTGTATTTCTTTTTATTAAACTTCATCCTCTTTACCTCAGACCATTTCCCCAATTTGTCCAGGTCATTTTGAATTATGACCCTATCCTCCAGATTAGTCGCAACCCCTCCCAGCTTGGTATCATCTGCAAACTTAATAAGTGTACTTTCTATGCCAATGTCTAAATCGTTGATGAAGATATTAAACAGAGCCGGTGCCAATACAGTCCCCTGCAGAACCCCAGTTGTTATACCTTTCCAACAGGATTGTGAACCATTAATAAAGATACTCCGAGTACGGTTATCCAGCCAGTTATCCACCCAATTTATAGTAGCTCCATCTAAGTTGTATTTCCCTAGTTTATTGATAAGAATATCATGCGAGACCGTATCAAATGCCTTATTAAAGTCTAGGTATATGACATCCACCGCTTCTCCCTTATCCACAAGACTCGTTATCCTATCAAAGAAAGCTATCAGATTGGCTTGACATGATTTGTTCTTTACAAATCCATGCTGGCTGTTCCCTATCAACAGATGATTTCCTTAATTACTTGCTCCATTATCTTCCCTGGCACAGAAGTTAAACTAACTGGTCTGTAGTTTCCAGGGTTGTTCTTATTTCCCTTTTTATAAATGGACACTATATTTGCCCTTTTCCAGTCCTCTGGGATCTCTCCTTCTCCCATGATTTTCCAAAGATGAAAGCTAGAGGCTCAGATACCTCCTCTATCAGCTCCTTGAGTATTCTAGGATGCATTTCATCAGGCCTTGGTGACTTGCAGGCATCTAACTTTTCTAGGTGATTTTTAACTTGTTCTTTTTTTATTTTATATTCTAAGCCTACCATCTTCCCACTAGCATTCACTATGTTAGGCATTCCTTCAGACTTCTCGGTGAAGACCGAAACAAAGAAGTCATTGAGCATCTCTGCCATTTCCGAGTTTCCTGTTACTGTTTCTCCCTCCTCACTGACCAGTGGGCCTACCCTCTCCTTGGTCTTCCTCTTGCTTCTAATGTATTTATAAAAAGTCTTCTTGTTTCCCTTTATTCCCATAGCTAGTTTGAGCTCGTTTTGTGCCTTTGCCTTTCTAATCTTGCCCCTGCATTCCTGTGCTGTTTGCCTATATTCATCCTTTTAATTTGTCCTACTTTCCATTTTTATGACTCCTTTTTTTTTAGGTCATGCAAGATCTCGTGGTTAAGCCAAGGCGGTCTTTTGCCATATTTACTATCTTTCTGACACATTGGAATAGCTTGCTTTTGGGCCCTTATTAATGTCCCTTTGAAAAACTGCCAAATCTCTTCAGTTGTGTTTCCCCTCAGTCTCGATTCCCATGGAAGTTTACCTATCAGCTCTCTGAGCTTACCAAAATCCGCCTTCCTGAAATCCATTGTCTCTGTTTTGCTGTTCTCCCTTCTACTATTCCTTAGCATCATGAACTCTATGATTTCATGATCACTCTCACCCAAGCTGCCTTCCACTTTCAAATTCTCAACCAGTTCCTCCCTATTTGTTAGGATCAAATCTAGAACACCTTTCCCCTGGTAGCTTTTTCAAACTTCTGAAATAAAAAGTTGTCTCCAATGCAGTCCAAGAACTAATTGGATAGTCTGTGTCCCGCTGTGTTATTTTCCCAACATATATCTGGATAATTGAAGTCCCCCATCACCACCAAATCTTGGGCTTTGGATGATTTTGTTAGTTGTTTAAAAAAAGCCTCATCCACTTCTTCCACTTGGGTAGGTGGCCTGTAGTAGACTCCTAGCATGACATCACCCTTGTTTTTAATCCCTTTTAGCCTAACCCAGAGACTCTCAACACTTCCATCTTCTCTGTCCATCTCCACCTCACTCCAAGTGTGTTCATTTTTAGTATATAAGGCAACACCTCCTCCCTTTTTCCCCTGTCTATCCTTCCTGAGCAAGACATACCCTTCTATACAAACATTCCAATCGTGTACATTATCCCACCAAGTTTCTGTGATGCCAACTATGTCATAATTGTACTTATTTATTAGCACTTCCAGTTCTTCCTGCTTATTACCCATACTTCTCGCATTTATATATAGGCATCTAAGATCCTGATTTCATCTTGCCTCCCAGTTTTGCCCTGGCCCTCCTTTCCGCTCCCTCCCATTTCCGACCCATCTCCCAGGTCTCCATGTTCTCCACTTACTTATTTAAGAGCAGGTTAGATCAGGGATGGTCTAGACAGTATTTGGTCCTGCCATGAGGGCAGGGTCTGGACTCAATGACCTCTCGAGGTCCCTTCCAGTCCTAGTGTTCTATGATTCTATGGTCCTATAAAAAGATGGAGAATGGTTGCCCACAACAAAATAGGAAAAGAGGCAAACTGCTTCAATTGTTCCAGTGAGGAGCCCTTCCATATCTATGCTTGTCAGTAGATACAAGTTGTGTAACAGCCTAATCCCCCTAAAATTCAGGTGCCACTCAGCGTCCTGAGATGACAGGGGAGCAGGTGACGGGCACTGTGCATTAACACACAGCTGGCTCCTCAGGTCTTTCCTCAGCATTTTCTCCAAGGGACGTTTTGCTTCAAGGGGGTCCTGGATCTATGCACAGGCCACGGCCTCAGTCGGTCCTGGTATCACACATCTACTAACCCCTTTCTTCCTGAGGGACCCTGCGTGCCACTGAAATGCAGCCCTCTTGGGAACGGAGGGTGCAGAAAAGTGAGTTTTCACGAGTGATGCTGGAGCAAACTCATCATCACCACAGGATGTTTGATGTCTGTGAGGGGTAGGGAGGATACTAGACTGACTCTACCCCATGCCGCTCACCTGGCACTGGGTCTGTGGAGCAGATGAGTTGAAAGCAAGAGCCGGTCCCTGGGAGTGCTGAGAGGGAAGCGTGTTCCCTGGGAATCCCCCTCAGGCAGCCGCATCCCACACCTCTCTCTGCCCAGCAGCTGCTGAAATATCCTACGCCACCAGCGGTCAGAGGGGTATTTATAACATAGCTCCCAGCAGTCGCAGTGGGGTTCGCTCTGCCTCTGGTGCAAAACCAGCATCTGGATGTAAACAGGTTGGAGCTCAGCCCCTGTGCTTCTGGGCTCTTTATCCAGCTGTGGGAGTAAACAGCAATTAAGGGCCCTTCCCAAAGGACAATGACAACTCAAGGGCCCTGGGCTGAGTCACGGAGGAATTGGTTGTTCTGTGTGTTGGTGTGTATTTCACAGTTATAGCTGGTTAGGAAGGAAAACTAGTTCCCCATGGGGTCTGATATCTATCTATCTATCTATCTATCTATCTATCTATCTATCTATCTATCTATCTATCTATCTATCTATCTGTCACGTTGCTGAATTGGAGGGAAGCAGCCAGATCGCTGCTGCACCCCTAGGTGGGGGTGTTGGCCCCAGAAATTGGTGTGGGGGGAGCCATGTGGGGTATTGAATGGGAGATTATTGTTTGTTGATCTTATGTACGCTATTTATGTGAGTGTATAATGTCTGTGTGTGTAGGTAGGAATCTGTAATCTGTGTGGAAGCTGAATATTTCTGTGAATGTGGTTAAGCATGGCTATGGACAGGCTGAGTAGCAAAGCCCTGTGGAACAATGACTCTCAATAGGCTATGGACACACCCAAAGAATGGGATTTGTCACCTGAGGGCAGCCAGCAGGAAACAGAGTTTGGCCTCTGACCAGGTGACTTGCTGCATACAAGAAGAGGCCAGGAAGGGGATAAAAGAGGCCATGTGGTCGATGCCATTAGGTTCTCAGCTCAGCACTTCATCCCAGAGGCAGCACTGCAGGGATTGAAGAGCCCGGAAGACCTGTGAACCCATCCTGACCTAGGATGTGCAATAAGGACTTTTAACCAGCAGCTGCAACATCTCTGCTAGAGCCTGCATCGAGAACTGGGAGATTCGGTGCATGTAACGTACTGTACTTTAATAACCTTACTCTCAGGCTTTTCTTTCTTGTAATAATAAACCTTTAGATATAGATTCTAAAGGATTGGCCCAGCGTGATTTGTGGGCAAGGTCCAGAGGGTAAATTGACCAGGGATCTGTGGCTGGTTTCTTGGAACAGGACAGAACTTGTTCGGGGTAGGTGGGATTGGGTGCTAGGACCCCCCACCCGTGTATAGGCCAGGGGCCATCTGGGGCACGGATATTGCTGGGGTGTCGGAGGGGTTTTGCTCGGGAGGCTTCAGGCAGGCTGCTGAAGCGCTCTGTGAGACTGGTTTGTGGCCTGTTTGGAGAGGTCGCCAGTCAGGGGGACTGTAAAGAGCCCCGGATTTGAGCAATTCGCCCTGAGCGGACGCCCTAAGCTGTGCCCAGACACGGCCCGGCCCGTCACACTATCATGGAATATTAGGACTGCAAGGGACGTCGAGAGGTCATCAAGTCCAGTCCTCTGCCCTCATGGCAGGAGCCAGTACTTTCTAGACCATCCTTGATAGACATTTATCTAACCTGCTCTTAAATATCTCCAGAGATGGAGATTCCACAACCTCCCTGGGCAATTTATTCCAGTGTTTCGCCACCCTGACAATTAGGAACTTTTTCCTAATGTCCAACCTAAACCACCCTTGCTGCAGTTTAAGCCCATTGCTTCTTGTTCCATCCTCAGAGGCTACGACGAACAAGGTTATTCCCTCCTCCTTATGACACCCTTAATCTTCTCTTTTCTAAACTAAACAAACCCAATTCCTTCAGCCTTCCGTCATAGGTCATGTTCTCTAGACCTTTCATCATTCTCATTGCTCTTCTCTGGACCTTCTCCAATTTCTCCACATCTTTCTTGAAATGTGGTGCCCAGACCTGGACACAATACTCCAACTGAGGCCTAATGAGCACAGAGTGGAGCAGAATAATGACTTCTCGTGTCTTGTTCACAACACACCTGTGAACACATCCTAGAATCACGTTTGCTTGTTTTGCAGCAGTGTCACACTGTTGACTTGTATGTAGCTTGTGGTCCACTATAACCCCTAGATCTCTTTCTGCCATAGTCCTTCGAAAACAGTTGCTTTCTATTCTCTATGTGTGAGACTGATTGTTCCTTCCTATGTGGAGCACTTTGCATTTGTCCTTATTAAACTTCATCCTGTTTATCTCAGACCATTTCTCCAATTTGTCCAGTTTATTTTGAACGATGACCCTATCCTCCAGAGCAGTTGTAACCCCTCCCAGTAGTTCGAAATAAAGCCCTAGTTCAAACTACCTGTTAAACCTCATTCCAGGAGGAATAACAGGTAGTTCAAACTAGGGCTTTATTTTGTACTACGAGGTCTCTGCCGTGTGTAAATTTCAAAAATGGCGACCGGCCAGGAAGATGCAAATCAAGCGCAGGATATTTAAATCCTGGGCTTGCTTTGCAACTTTGAATGCCTACATTAGCCTCCCTAGTTCGAACTAGGGGGCTAGTGTAGACATACCCTTACAGAAGTGGAATCCAAGCAGTTATAAATAGACTGCTTCCCTTTTCTGTCGTGTGTGCCAAGCACAGTAAGTCAATATTTAATGTCTCTTTGACAGTCCAGTGAGTGATTCAGAGAATAGGGCCTGGTGCCATGTACTGAGATTAGTCTGCACAGAGTTTGGTCTGACCCCAACAGCCCCAGGAGGAAGCATTAAGTCCCTTTATGAGAAAAAAGCCGGAGAAGCCTGTCCTGTATCTGCCTGGTCCTTACCCCATAGATGATGGGGTTCAGCATGGGGGGCACCAGGAAGTACATGTTGGCCATGAGAATATGGAAATGCAGGGGCACATTGTGGCCAAATCGGTGGATAAGGAAGGAGAAGAGACCTGGGATGTAGAAGGCTAAGATAGCACAGAGGTGGAACCCATAGATCCTGAAAGTCTTGAGCCAGGAATCCTTTGTGGGGAGGCTGAAGACTTCCCTGAGGATTTGGGTATAGGACACAGTGAGAAAAAACACATCCAGGCCAGCTACTAAGAGTGGCACAAAGGCTATGTCTAGACTGCAGGTTTCTTTCGAAAGAGGCTCTTTCGAAAGCATCTTTCGAAAGAGCCTCTTTCGAAAGATCGCGTCTAGACTGCAGGCGGATCTTTCGAAAGAGAAATCCGCTTTTTCAAAAGAGAGCACCCAGCGAGTCTGGATGCTCTCTTTCGAAGACAGCCTATTTACATTGAAGAATGCCTTCTTTCGAAAGAGGACTGAGTAAATTGAGTTTTCCCGCCATCGAAAGAAAAGCCCCGTTCTTTCGAAATAATTTCAAAAGAGCGCGGCTTGAGTCTGGACGCAGGGGAAGTTTTTTCGGGAAAAGGCTACTTTTCCCGAAAAAACCCCTGAGTCTGGACACGGCCAAAGAGACCATAATAAGAACTCATGCAGATGTCGGCGCAGGCCAGCTTCACGATAGCGATGTGCTCGCAGTATGAGTGGGGGTTGATGTTGGTTCTGCAATATGGCCAGTGCCTCGCCAGGAAGGGAATGGGAAGTATGAGCAGGAAGCCACGCAGCACTACGACCAGACCGATCTTGCCCACCACAGGGTTTGTCAAGACGGTGGAATGTCTCAGGGGGTGGCAGATGGCCACGTAGCGATCCAAAGCCATGGCCACGAAGATCCCAGACTCCATCACTGAGAAGCAGTGAGTAAAGTACATCTGGGTGAGGCAGGCACTGAAATCAGTCACCCTGGAATTGAACCAGAAGATGCTCAGAGTTTTCAGCTGGATAGATGTAGACAGGACCAGGTCGGTGGTGGCCAGCATGCAGAGGAAATAGTACAGGGGCTCATGGAGATTCTAGCAGGATGGCGAAGTTCCCAAAGAGGGCTATGATGTACATGGCAGAGAAGGGGATGGAGAGCCACACATGGGCGGCCTCCAGGCCAGGGATGCCCAGCAGGATGAAGGTGGAGGGGTTGGTGAAATCGGTTTTGTTGTAATCTGACATGGAGGAGGGGAGAAGGAGTCCAACGCTGAGGCAGAACCGTGTCTCCTGAATGGACTGTCCATACCCTTGACATCCTTCATGTGCCCGGGGTCCAAGTCAATTGTTTCAGTACAAATGCCTGGATTGAAAGATTCCCTACGTAAAAGAATCAATGGACACAAATCTGATATTAGGAATGGCAACATACAAAAACCTGTAGGGGAACACTTCAATCTTCCTGGACACACAATTGCAGATCTAAAGGGAGCCATCCTGCAGCAAAAAAACTTCAGGACCAGACTTCGAAGAGAAACTGCAGAGCTACAGTTCATCTTTAAGTTTGACCCAATCAACTCTGGATTAAACAAAGACTGTGAATGGCTCGCTAACTACAAAAGCAGCTTCTGCTCTCTTGGAATTCACACCTCCAGATTAGCTACTAGAAGTGGGCCTCATCCTCCTTGATTGGATCCACCTTGTCATCCCCAGCCTGATTCTGGCCTGCATATTTATACCTGCCTCTGGAAATTTCCACTCCATGCATCTGACGAAGTGGGTCTTTGCCCATGAAAGCTTCTGCTCCAACACTTCAGTTAGTCTATACGGTGCCACAGGACTCCTCGCCGCTTTTGGATTGAAAAAAAATGTGAACATGAGACACAACATGCACAGCTGGAGACTGTTCTCATGGGGGCAGCACTTTGGTCGCTTTTCACACCCAAAAACATTGTTCTGGGAAATGACTTATGAACCCCATTCATGGCAAGTCCATATTTGATGATGTTCTGTGCATCAATAATTCCTACATGATATGGTGTGGTACCATTCCTTAAAAGCCACCACCAGGAAAGGCAAGTGTGGATACAGGTTTTCCCTTGTGGTTGCCTAAGAAATGAAGCATGGGCCCAAGAGCCGGCTGGGTAGGGAGCTCTCCATTCATGGAGCTGCTCAAGATCTGGGAACGGAAAACATTAAGGATACAGCAGAAGGAAAAGGGGTTTCTGAGGCAGACTGTGAGAATGTGGGTGGCTGCCATATGTGGACATATTGAAAAGTCTGGGACTGTTCGTTTGGAGGAGAGAAAAATGAAGGGGGCTGAAGAAAGAGAAGAGAAAAACAAAGAATGGACAGGATTTCAGTGCCTAAGAATGGCAATACTGGGTCAGAATGGTGAATGAAATTTACTAAATGGCAAATGAAATGTAATGTTGATGAATGTAAAGTAATGCACACTGGAAAAATAAATTTCAACTATGCATACAATACAGTGGGGACTCATTTAGCTACCACTACTCACGAGAGAGAGATCTTGGAGTCATTGTGGATAATTCTCTGAAGACATCCACTCGGGATGCACCATTAGTCAAAAAAGCAAACAGAATGGTAGGAATCATTTAAAAAGGGAGAGAGAATAAGCCAGAGAATATCTTATTGCCTCTGTATAGAACCATGGTACACCCAGATCTTGAATACGGCATATAGATGTGGTCACCTCATCTGAAAAAAGATATATTGGCATTGAAAGAGGTTCAGAAAAGGGTGACAAAAATGTTTAGGGGTTTGGAACGGGTCCCATATGAAGAGAGATTTAAAAGACTTGGACTTTTCAGCTCAGAACCGAGGATACTAAGGGGGGATATGATAGAGGCCTATAAAACCATGACTGGTGTGGAAAAAGTGAATAAGGAAACGTTATTTACTTATTCCCACACTATAAGAACTAGGGGTCATCGAATGAAATTCACAGGCAGCAGGTTTAAAACAAACAAAAGGAAGTTTTTCTTCACTTAGCACACAGTCATCCCATGGAACTCCTTGCCAGAAGATGTTGTGAAGACCAGGACTTTAACAGGATTCAAAAAAGAACTAGATAGATTCATGGAGGTTAGGTCCATCAATGGCGATTAGCCAGGATGGGTAGGAATGAGGCTGGAAATGGGTGACCGGGGAGGAGTCACTTGACGATTCCCAGTTCTGTTTATTCCCTCTGGGGCACCTGGCATTGGCCACTGTGAGCGACAGGACACTGGGCTAGATGGACCTTTGGTCTGACCCAGTCTGGCTGTTCTTATGATCCCAGGGAGGATCAATGCCTCCGATATCACAGCAGGGGGTTATAATAGATGTGAGTTGCCATCCCCTCTCACCTAGTGGCTCTATGACTTAGTCACACACAAGCAATAGGGCTCAATACTTGGTTAACTGGGTGACATTTATAGATCTCTTCTGAGGCTGGACAATGTACCCTTCTGATGTTAAACCTGATGAAAATATTGAGAACGAAACTAAACCAGGCATTGATATTTCCTTTGTCTCACGACACACAGAAAAGGAGACATTCAATTCCATTGAAATTCTGAACATACACTATAAGAAAAGGAAATTGTTTACATCACATATATTTGGCCTGGGGAACTGACCGTATTGGAACAAAGGGTATGTCTACACTACAAAGATAATTCGAACTAACAGACGTTAGTTCGAATTAACTTTGATAGGCGCTACACTACCGATCCGCTAGTTTGAACTTAATTCGAACTAGCGGAGCGCTTAATTCGAACTAGGTAAACCTCATTCCACGAGGACTAACGCCTAGTTCGACTTAACTAGTTCGAATTAAGGGCTGTGTAGGGTTTTTTTCTCCCTCTCGGTTCAGTTCCTCCCAGTGTCTCCCAGGGGGAATTGGAGTCAGATGTTCCAAGCTGAGTCAGACTTTCCAGCCCTGCTCTGGCTGGAGGGCGCTTGGTCTCCCTGCCAGCCCCTCTGGCTGATCAGGGACATTGCTCCAGTACTGATGAAGTGGGTTCCAGCCCACAAAATCTTTTGCCCAAATACATTTTTTCATTTTCCTTTAAGATGCCACAGGACTCCTCACTGTGTTTGCTGAGACGGCTATACCTCTGAATGGTGTCCACCACAGGAACTGTACAACACACTCCTAAATGATCTCAAACACAGGATAAAAGGTGAGGCAGCAAAATTTGCAGATGACACACAACTACACAACATAATTATGACGTAGGCAGACAGCAGAGAACTACAGAAGGACCTCTGAAAACAGGGTGAGCAAGAAAGAAAATGGCAGAGGAAATGTAATGTTGAGAAATGCAATTTGATTCACATTGGAAAAAATTCTCCCGACATTACAGGCAGTCCCCAGGTTACATGGATCCGACTTATATCGGATCCCTACTTACAAACGGGGTGAGGCAACCCCGCACTAGCTGCTTCCCCCCAGCAGACCAGGGAGATGCGAAGCTAGCGCCCCTCCCAGCAGACCAGGGAGACGCAGAGCGGCTTTTCTCAGCAGACACCTCAGCTTGAGAATAAGGACTGAGGGAAGTGAGGTGTGGGAGAATAAAACTGAGCTCTGGAGAAATGTTTGGCTAGAGTTTCCCCTACAATATGTACCAGTTCCGACTTACATACAAATTCAACTTAAGAACAAACCTACAGTCCCTATCTTGTACCTAACCCGGGGACTACCTGTACAAATAAAAGCACGGGGTCCAAATTATCTGTTACCACTCCAAAGAGAGATCGTGGACTCTTTGGGTACGTCTAAACTACATGGCTCCGTCGACGGAGCCATGTAGTTTAGACGTACCCAAAGAGTCCACGATCTCTCTTTGGAGTGGTAACAGATAATTTGGACCCCGTGCTTTTATTTGTACAGGTAGTCCCCGGGTTAGGTACAAGATAGGGACTGTAGGTTTGTTCTTAAGTTGAATTTGTATGTAAGTCGGAACTGGTACATATTGTAGGGGAAACTCTAGCCAAACATTTCTCCAGAGCTCAGTTTTATTCTCCCACACCTCACTTCCCTCAGCCCTTTATTCTCAAGCTGAGGTGTCTGCTGAGAAAAGCCGCTCCACGTCTCCCTGGTCGGCTGGGGGGGGGGAGCTAGCTTCGCGTCTCCCTGGTCTGCTGGGGGGAAGCAGCTCTCAGCGCGGCAGCCATGTAAATTTAAATGAAGCCGCGATCATTTAAATCGCGGCTTCATTTGACTTTGCCTATGTGTCTAATCTACATGCCTCTGACGACAGATGCATGTAGTCTAGACACAGCCTTTGTGGGTAGCTCTCTGGAAAAATCCTTTCAATGTGCTGCCACAGCCAAAAAAGCAAACTGCCTACCTTGTCCAGTGGATGCTGGAATCGTTGGGCTGGGGCGTGCTGTGCGGCAGGCCACAAGCTGATATCACTGTGAAACTGAAATCACAGAGAGCTGAAATTATTAGGTTTGGCCAAGAGTCAAATCCATCACAAGGCCAGCGGCTAGCAAGAATGGCCGGCAGGAGCAGCAGCAGGCAGCTGGCAAGTGGAAGCAGGTGGCTGGGGGAAGCAGTT